GTATATGGGTGTATGGATACACACACATATGTTCATGATTTTGGTGCTTTTTCTTATTTTTTACTTGATTTTTGTAATTCCTGTTTTAATTTTGATTTCATTTTTTTTTACGTTTTGATTCTGTACCATTAGTTTACATTTCCAAAATTTAAGCCCATACTGTAGCTAAAAACTTTTTGAGTTAAGCTACTGGCGTTCCTTTTTTTTGCATTCCTGGTTAATTTGCTTTTCTTTATAGATTTGTTTTTGTATTGGTTATTACTTTTGTATCTTAGTTGTTATTGTTGTTAGACCGCACCACAAGAGTTGTGTGTGCCACCGTTCTAAATGTGAAGTGTCAATAAATAAATAAATAAATAAATATCACTGTTCTACGATTTAAAAATTCAATAGCAATATAACTTTATTGATTTGCATTTGAAATATTACAATTTTACGTTTTTTAATTACTCCAAGATACATGATTTTAATCCAAGATACATAATGTACAGTAGTTTTTTATCGGCATGGCATCTTACTTTCTTAACTTTTTGATGTAAATTTCGTAACGATTTGATGATCTTGTCAAAAATATTTTTAAGTCTTTCATGTCGCTTCTTTTCAAAATCTTCGTATGTTATCTTTTTCACTGTAGAATTATGTGCTAAATTGTATTGTTAAGCTTTTTAACGTCCCGAATTTCTAGTTAACCTTTAACGTACAGTATATTATATATTGAGTACTGATTTTTTTTTTTTTTTTTTTTTTTTTTTTTGTAAATTTATATTCTTTAAATTCTGTACAACGCTTGTTTTAAATGGATTTTGATTTCTATGAGTGTAAGCACCGTTATTATTTGGAAGCATTCCATACGTGAGATGGGATTGTGGAGTATGTGTGTTCGCCTCAAGAGCAAACGATACAGTAGAACCCCTCCTTTGGGACACCCCTATTCAGGGGACACCCTATTAAGGGGACACTTTTCCGTGAAACGAAGGGAATTACCGTATATATCTTTTAACACTACGGCCAACTCCTATTAAGGGGACTGGGACACTGAGCGTACCAAATGGTAAAATAACCCCATTTAAGGGAACACTTAATTTGTTGTCATTGTAAAGCCTCAGACGACTACAGCAGTCTCATAATAAGAAAAAAATCATTCAACTTTATATTTTGACGCCTTTTGAGCAATAAACAGAATATTATCTCCTGAATCATTGGTATAGGCCTTTGCATGTGCTACTTCGTATAAACCATGGAAATATTGTCAATCTCTTTATTTATTTTTCGTGTATTGCATCATGAAATAATTCTGCGAACATATAAAACGTTATTTAGGCCTAATTACATTTCTGCTGATTTTATATTATAAATGAATTCTATTTGCATTATTGCTGTAAATTTGTTTTAATTGTTCTGTAGATGATTATTATGCCATCGTTATGTCTTATGTACGTATGTCGTTGTATGAAAACATGCCCAAAAAAAAAACCCCCTATGAAGGGGACAATTGCACGTTTTTGGTTAGTGTCCCCAGTTCAGTAATGCGTTCAGTAAAACTTGTTGTTCTAAATGGATTGGATTGAGATTTAAAGAGATGAACGCCAGACGTGTACAGCTTGTCAGGTTTCATTCGACCTCAACAGTTTGCCAAAATAAATCCTCTAGCTTACACTGCGTCGTGTTGCTGCTGTGAATGTCATTTGGTATAAAACAATCATTGTAAGGCTGTTGTCTATTAAACCTACGATAACTCTCTAATCACGGTTCTGTTCATATTTGTATGTATTAGTTCCTGTGCTGCGAGGAAAAGAAAACACAGTTGAATCACTAATTTTATATATAGAAGCTTAGGTTGGATGGAACAAAAACAATAACTATAGGCCTAGATATTGCCAAATTCGGCGCTTCTGAAATGTCTATTAATATCCTAATACTGTATACCGGTAAATAAGATGCATGCATTTCACTTTGATTTAAAAAGCATTTATTCTAGTAGATGGAGTAGGCCTAGTATAATGGTGAAAGAGTGCGCTCTATCCGAAATCGCTTCTAAACTGACATGGTTGTTTACAAATAGGCCTAAGTACCTTTGAAGCCCAACGGACTAAATCTCGAGAAAAAGGCCATCTGGAATTGAAGCCCATCTTTAGTTGGTAAAATTAGCCCATGGGCTTCTTTTCGATATGTACATACACTGTACAAGAATTTCAAAAAACAAAATAAATTAAAAACACACTTGGTTTATACAGTATTTTTAGGTGATTTAAGAGATTAACTCCATGACACAGATTGGTGTTAGAGTGGCCTTAATTTTTGTTTTATAATACAAATTCCCAAAATTTTGAGCATTCATTTTGAAAAGAAGCCCACCCCACACTCTTTACTTTAAAAAAAAAAAAGGAAGGAAGCCCCGTACTTCAATTCGAGGTTTCACGGTACCGTATAATACTACAATTGAGCATGGAGCTCGTCTTTGTTTAATAGACCTTAGGAGTCTCAATCCAAATTAGCAGAGATAAATTAGAACAGGGCCAATAATGCGCATGTCTCAATACATGCAGTGGCGGCTCTAGGATATATTTTCTGGGGGTGGGGGAGGCTTGAGCCCTTAGGCCTGAGCTGGGGAAGGGGTTGAGAGGGAGTTCCCCCTCCCAAATGCGATTTTCTTTAAAGAATAGGAACCTCTGGATGGCCGGAAATGGCACTCTCAGACTGTGACATACATGGTGTTGGAATTGGTGTGGGCCTATTTTTATATTTTTTATGGTCTGAATGTCGTGCTCTGTCCGACGGGTGGCTTGACCTGTCCGGTGGGGGCACTTAAGCCCCTGTCCCGCGCTGTCGCCGCCACTGAATGCATGAATTGTTTGGGGACACTTCTTCAGGTCAATTTACCCGAAGTAGTGTAGTGTATAGTGGTGGCACAAGTGGAAAAATTTGCCCTCGTCGTCGGACAGGCCTGGACCCCCATCGTCCGTCTGACCAAAGTATTAATTTTTGCCTATACAAATAACGTTATGAATTGCCACAATCCCTTTATGTTTATGTGTATTGTTTGGACCAGACAATATTTACTTTCTATTTCTTGCTTTACTATCTTTTTAAAGCAAAATGAAGTTGTGTAGTTCAGACTGCGTTCTTGTTGTGCATAATATCCTCCGATTGAAGCTCACTGTTTATAAGCAAATAAACATTTCCAAACAGTCGACAAAAATCGATCTTCGCCGTGTATATCAAGATTTTGGAATAAACAAAGTAGTGCATGTTTATTTATTTATCGGCGCAGTTCGCCTTGTAGAAACTGGTGACGTTGATCTTATTAGCATAATTGTTTTAACATTTCATTGGTTAATCTGAAAATTAACCCCGCCTTCGTAGTTTATTTGACACCTGTCATATGTTTCTTCCGACCCAACACTAACTTGTTTAACATCGCTGTACGTAGGCGCTTCCGATATATATGTGTTTTCATTTTTTTAAGAAGTTACCCGCAAAAACATGGCGGAATTATCCGCTTTCGAGAATAATCAAACAGTTTTTCAACAGCCAAATAATATTTTAAACTGGGTATATTACGCTTTGCAAGATAGGAATGGGCTTGGAAATACACCGACACAATCGGAGCTAGGCCTCTCTGGAAATTGGTCCGAAAAATACATCACGGAGCAACTTGGTCGATTAGGTCTTCAGCAATCTACCGTACAACAAATCGCAGCAGCAGCTGTAGCGTCCGTTGCTGCCGGAGAACCAAACCAGAGATTTAACTCAGTTAATGCCAATGGAAACATACCGAATATTACGAACATGAGTAATCTGACAAACATCAATAATAACTTTCTTGGGGTAAGTTGATTCATAAGGACGTACTTATTCATATCCCCCCGCAAAAAATGTGGCCAAATAAGGCGCATTCTCCGATATTGTAAATTAATAATTATATTATATATTATTAAGTGAGGTGGAGAACCAGTTGCGATTAAATAATTACATTTATAGTTTATGATAATACGATTTTAAATGTTGTGTTAAAATTAATCACAGTAACTTGTTTTTGTTCGTTCAGAAAGTTTGCTCTTGAAGAAAGTTTGTTTAGTCGCGTGTCTATCATTGTGGAGGGATTTGCAAACTTAAGTGACTGTCAAAAGGTTGAAAAGGCATTGTTAGGACAGTCTTTGGTGAATTGTTAAAAAGTGTTAACACTGTAAGCCTTTTACCGCCTTTTACACTGTTTACTTGCCACTCGAGAAGTCGTGTAACAAATCTTTATTTAAGATCATTAGTCAATTGACTTTTCTGACCTTCAAAATGTGTCCACTTGCTCTGTAAAGAAGCTCATTCAAGCATGGATAATGGCATATTTAAGTTGCATTGAAGTTAATATTAGCATCAGATATCTGTTTATTTTGTCTTCTTCTTTGCCTTAAGAATCTTGCCTATACTTTTATTGCATCTATGCTTATTATTGTATTTATACCACTTAGCTACATATTGATATTATAGCCTATACCATAGGGTGTGTTTATATTTCAGTACTTTACTTTTACCATACAAAATGAATATTAATTTATGTACTTTATATCAAATATTCATAGTGATATTTGCATTGGTTTTGTTATTCGAGTAAATTGCTGTTTTTGTCCAGATTATGAACAGCTGTTTTTTCTTTTTGCTGTTGTGTTCTGGTATGATTTGAAGCAATTAACTCAAAAATGTGTACTAAGTTTCAAATTGCAAAGGGCATAGCATATACGAGAGGGACAGTAAAACATATGTTTAAAGTTGAGGCTGTAAATATCAAGGATGCAATAACTAATGGATTTTGTATTTTTAGGCAAATTAATGTATCAAGTATTTTTTTTATATGAAAATACTTGATATAGAAGATTAAAATCCATAATATTTTGATAAAGTTGCTTAAAATGCTTAGTTTAGTATTGAATTAGTTGAACAATAACTATATATAAAATAGAAATTTGATTCTTGAAAATTACCAATCTTGTGAATGAAAACACACAACACTGTGTGGTATGTAATCTAAAAAAAGTGATTCCTGTACTAATTAACAATTTAAGCACTTGCTTGTTCCAATTTCCAGTGTTTTATAAATTTAATATGTAAAAACCTAATAATTTTAAAATTACAACACCGCAACAATGTGACTTGTGTTAATGTTTTATGTTTGACAGTGGCTCATTGTGCCAGTTTTATGCTAATTTCTAATTGGATGCTATCATAATCATGGATTGGATTAGGAATTAGGAATTAGTTCAGTAATTGTGAACCAGGCTATGGCTTCTATTTATTTGAGGTTGTTTATGTACAGAGTTTCTTTTTTGTTAATTAACACATGATGTTACGTGTAGGCTACATAGCCTGACCTAATAAACAATATTAATTTATTAACATCAAGGATCCTCTTTTGTTATTCTTAAGTGCAGTACAATATTTCCTTCAGGAATTTCCCTTAAAATCTTGGTTCTAATTTCAAGACATAATTGCCCATTGTGGATCTCGGGTTCACTAATAAATTTAGAAACTTGACTCTTAATTATTAACAAGGATTTTCTTATTTGAGCTCAATTGAAACAGTGGTTTGTGTAAATGGTAGATATTGAAAGTGAATAACACTACTATAATTGGCAAAATATACTCAGGCTATTTGGTATTTCACTGAACTGTTTTACTTCTCACATTTTGAAAAAGATTCAGAAATTTTGTAAATATGCTGGTTCTGATTTTGTTTTTAAAAAGCTATACTGTATATTATTATTTACTTTTTAAATAAATATATGTTCTCATATTTGTTTTGAAGTTTCCAAAATAGGTTACATTTTTTTCCCCTTTTCATTTCAACAGACAGCAACACAGGCCAAGTTGTTATCTTCACCGTATGGAAGCATCGGAGACCTCGCTGAACATTTTACAGAACTATCATTAGCGTCGTTAAATGATAGGAAACCAGGAAAAAGGCCGCCGCCAACGTACTTATGTCATTTGTGCTTCAATAAGGGACATTATATTAAAGACTGTCCACAGGTAAGAAAATCATTTCTTACTGCTTAAAATGCCATCATACTGATAATTTCTTTCAGAAGTTTAACCAAAAAGCATACCAGTTGGCTCCACAGCTCAGTTGGTGAGTATCTGAACTGAACTTAATTAATCTTATGTTTTAAGAGTTTCCAGATTTCATATCTTTAATTTAAGTAAAAGGAATCATTTTAGATAGGGCAAATAATGTATCGTAGGTTTACTCTTTTGTGGGGTACTTTAAAGACAAAATTTGCTGGTAGAAACATTATTTTAAAGTTGTGAAAGCTGTTTTGGCTTTTAAATTTTCAGCTCACAGCTGAGACACAAGTTTATAGGAAACCTGATTCTAAAGGTCATAGGTTAAGGTCAAAGCAGTTAAGTTAAGTGAAACCTGCTGTTAATTCTGGAAAAAAAATCTCTAGGGTGAGTGTTTGGCATGTTTATTAAGAAATAATGAAGTATTGTTTACCTGTCACTTTGCCAGAGACAATGAAAGAAGTAAGATAAAACAGCTGTATTTGCCCATTTGCTACAAATATGCAATGATTACCAAATAATTTTTATTTACACTCACTGTGTGTGAAAAGAATTAATTCATGTGTGCTGTTTAAAACTTTAAAAAATGCATATACAGTTACAACATAGCAGAAATGCATTTAATGTATGAAAACCTATGAAATGCAGATGTATAGCATACATGACTCAAGTACACTTTTTTAAATATTTTACTGTAAGAACAAGTAAAATTTTTCCCAGACTCAGTGTTCTTATTTTTTGCTGATTTCACGCTCGAAATTTTCTTATTTTGTTCTTAGTACACACTTTTTACAGACACGGAAAATGATTATTGTACAGCAATTTATTACTGTACTGTTAAACATGGTCAAACCTACTGCAAATATTAGCTACAGATACTGTAAAATATGTTTTTCTATCTTTTTTTTTTATTATAAAAACCTCATTTGACATTTTACCTCAGCCTCAATTTGTTTAGGTATTGCTAAATCCCGCAAACCCCAAGAACACAGTGCAGACCTCATTCAAACCTTGTGATTAAATCACGTAGGTAGTATATGACTCAACTTGGTATCTTAATAAAAAAAAATTATAATTTTGTGTTCATAACAACCTACTGTATTTTTGTGGTATAAATCTTGATTTTTTGTTAAAAATACTAGTACCTAAAAATACACCACAAACCTCCAAAAACACTGCAATCCCCATCCAAACCTTGTGATAGTGATCGAATTGCGTAGTATGGGACTCACTTGGCATGTCAATAAAAAAAATCATAATGTTACGTTCGTAATAACCTATTTATGGGGTAACAAGGCAATTTTTTGTATAACAAAATTGCTAAACCCTGCAAACTCCAAAAACACAGTGCAAACTCCATCCAAACCATGTGACAGTGATTGAATCATGTAGTATAGGACTCAACTTGGTATCAATTATAATTTTATGTTCATAGCAACCAATTTTTTCTTATTTTGCACTTAATTTTGATGGCAATTTCAGCCTCAATGTTCTTATAAAATTTGTTCTTATAAAAAAAGTGTACTGGTGGGTCTACTTGAAGATCTATGCTGCCAAAGAATTTATAAGAAAACCATTGAAATCTAACCAACCACTTTGTAATGAATTTAAATGGCTATAGGGTGTACCCCCCTACTCAGAAAAGGATTACAATCTGCTAATTGTCGCACATCCAGATTTCTCACCTCATTCATACCTTTTGCAATAAGATATTACAACTCATATATGTTATATATATAATGTTTATCGCTTGTCTCTTTTAACTGTATTTGTTTACTGTATTTACTGTACATACAGTAGGCCATATCTTTTTTCCATATTTATATCTGTTACTTTTTGCTTCTTGTTATATTTTCGATGTTTCTATATATTTTTGTATCTGTAAAATGGTTACACCCAAACAGAATTTCCGTATTTTGGAAAAATAAAATAATCTTGAATCATGTATCTTGATACAATTCAATACTTAAATAGAAAAGGGCTCCAGGGCGACCTTTAACAACTTTCATACATATAATCACTGGCGTTCGTAGTTCAACACAAGTCTGTAGACCCACCAGTACACTTTTTTTATAAGAACAAATTTTATAAGAACATTGAGGTTGAAATTGCCATCAAAATTAAGTGCAAAATAAGAAAAAATATATAGAATACATTTATTACAGTAAAATTTCTTATCACAGTGATAAACTAGTATTTCTTTCCTTTCATACACAGTACAGTATCATCAGTAGTAATAAGATGTCTATCACAATTGATTCATTGTGGCAAAAAATATAAATATGTTACAAAATTGATAATTTTATGTTACTTAAAGTTCTCAAAAATAAGCAAATTAATTTCAAAATTGGTTGGTATGATTTTACAGGGGTGGGGATAATACTGTACATCATTAAAGAATCTTGGTTTACTAACTGTAAATGGGCCTGACCAATATTAGAGCACACTAAATAAGGTACTGTTCGTTCTATTGAGTACATCTGTACTCCTCACTAGAATGATTACCTCAATACTAATTCGGTCCTATTTTACTACCCATAATACACCTAACCCTTACTAGCGTCTTTATCTTGTTTACGTTACCTCACCCATCTCATCAGTTGACATGGTTTCTTTGATTGTGCACAATTAAACCAAGTGTTCCAGTGACAGCTGCATAGAATCCATTCCAAGCCTTATAAGGATAGGCACTCCGAGGTGCAGGTCATCCATGCCTGGTGTATGATGTGCAGATTGGAAAACTGATGTACTGAGGAATAAATCAGACGCATATACAATCAACCCATTGTGCATCATGTCAATTAACTAATTAAACTTTCTATTAGTAAGCGTGATTATTGCAGTTAGCACAGAAAATGAAGTCAGCGTAAAAGTCGGTAATTTTCAATTTAAGCAACTGTTGCACCGAGACAGGTTATGTAAATCATGTTGATCAGCTGCTCAAATAACAACTCATGGATATATATTCTAGAGCAATTGTAAACTGAATTGAACTATCTTATATAATTTAAAATTATTTAACTTTAAAGTGTAGAGATTAATAAAGTTTGCTGAAGTAGTTTCATTGAATTTAAATAGTATTATTTCATATATTTGGAAGAGACTGACTCTTCAATTACCTTTACTCAATACAGTACTTAACTTACATTATCTCATACCAGTAACAATGTATTCATGTTAAAGTTTCATAAAAACTTTGATATAAAAGGAGAAATACTGTACATACTGTAAGCTGTGTACAGTAACAAATTCGATTTGATTAAATTTTTAGGAGTTTTTATAGAGCCAGGCTCAACAGGAAAACATTATTTTTTAGAGCACAAAAAGAGTGTTGGATAAAAAACTTGGAAACGGTTAATGAGATACAGATTTTTGAATATTTAAAAACTGGGGGAAAAGTGACATAACCATTCCCTTTTCACTACAGGCATTGCCCACACTGCACAGTCTTGTGTAACATAATATTTTCTGTTGCATCAGACTTCCAGTCTTGTTATTAATTGCAGTTGATTGCAGATTATTGCAGGCATCTTGCAAGTACAGTTTTGTACTGTAACATGGGAATTTTTTCTTCCTTTCGTTTGTTTATACTGTATTTATAGCTTTGATATTAATTGGGGCAACTGAAATGAAAGAAAGCTGTAAAAATAAATAAGACTTTGCATTGATGTAAGAATCATTAAAACAATGATGACACCATACAGTACATTTGATAAACAAGATACAAACACTTACCTGTTGTTTCATAATTTTTCATTAATTATGAAGACAATCAGCAGTTAAACTGCTGATGTTTTTCATATTTTTATTTCTGAAAATACAGTACCTCTAGAAATCACTTTGTTAAAATGTGGTGCCATATTTTTTCTTATTCAATCCAGTGACAATTCTGTGGTACAGGTAGTGGTGTGTTCTGTATGGTATTTTGTTTTGTTGCGTCAAAAACTGGATGTTGTGGTTTTCCAGATTAGTCATACTCTGTCTTAAATTACTTTCTAAAGTCATTCACCTTCTAAATTTAAGAACTTAAGAAAGAAATAATCTACAGAGATATTAGATAAATCATTAATTGGAATGTATTGAGCAGAGATAACACTGGTTGTTAACCCTACCACTCAAGGCTAATAGCATACTGTAGAGGGGGTAGAAGGTTAAATCCATAACTACAGTAACTGCACAGAGTCTGTTTGAGGTAAAAACCCTGAAAACTTAATTTCAATATTTGAATTGGTTACTCTGTATATATAAGTAAGTTATTAGCTTCCAATTGTAAATTCGAACAAGAAAGTATTTTTTGTAGGCCTACAATACTTTATTGTTATTTAGACCCTTAAATTTGTAGAGTAATCAATAAGGTTTTTCAATGTAAAAGGTTTTAAATCTGTGAGAACTGTTTTAAGTGATTTATTTGATTTTTTCAGTACACCCAATTAATTTCTTGTAGGTTCTATTCAGGTATATCTTTGTAAAGTGAAGGAACACAACCAAAAGTTTGTCTCCAAGGAGGAATGAACTTGTTCCCATTAAGTTAATGATTGTTACTGTACTATAAATAAATTCTATGTAAATACATGTATGGTCCATAAAATAAACAGAACTGGTAGCTGAATGCGGTGGATGACAATATAAAATCTAAATTTAAAAAAAACTCTGAATTAAATTAACAAAATGTTTTCTAGTACTTTTTAAATTTAAAAAAAGCAAATTGAAGTTGACATCTTATGTAGAGGTCGATTGGGTAGAAACTTTGTAGTTTATTATTTATATTGAAGAACATTTTAAGTTCTACTGTACCAATACTGTTCATGAAGTAGGACAGAAACTATAAAAGGTTATGAAAATATTTCCAGAATTTCCTGAGGAAACTACTTTAAACTTCTCCACTTCCCATTGGAAGATTTGATTTTTCACCAAACTGCCTACAGTATATAAACAGAAATTTGGAAAAAATGGAGCAACAGACAATA